TCCCGGAGCGGGGCCTCCACAACGGAGCCGGACGCCGAAAACGTTCATGCCGTCGCGTTTGACTGGGAGAATGAGCAGACATGGGCCACGGTCCTAAGCATCGGCGCTGCTAGTATCTTTCTTGTGGCACCGCCGGTGATGGATATGCTTCCGCCGATGCGGTCATTCATTGACCAAGCGAGGATCCAGAGTCGCAAAACGAGATTTGTGCTGCTGAGCGGCAGCCCAGTTGAGCCTGACATTAATGGGTATGCGATGGGTCGGCCGCATGCGTACTTAAAGGAGCTCGGCGACAAGGGCGAGGTGGAATGGGCTGCATTGCGACCAACGTGGTTCCAACGTGAGCTTTTGTGTTCACCATCCTAGTTTAATGCCAGTGAGCTGATATGAGAGCAGAAAACTTCGCAGAGCAGGAACATCATCGCCTGGCGATTATCAACGAGAGCACCGTGTATTCCGCCACCGCCGACGGCAGGATTCCCTGGGTGGCTACAGAGGACATCGCTGCCTGTGCGTTCCAGCTACTCACTCAAGAAGACGCGCCGAATGACGAATATCTCATTCTTGGGCCTGAGCTACTCACTTACGACGAGGTGAGCGCCGGTAACCCTATTCTTAAGTAATATACGAAAATGTTAATTGCTGATCTTTCCGTGGCAGGTCGCTGGCATACTCTCCGACGTTCTGGGACGAAAGATTGTGCACAAACGTCTTTCATCACAGGAGCTGGTGGACCGTTACGCCGCTCAGGGCATGCCGCGGGATTACGCGGAGATGATGGGTGGGCTGGATACGGCCATCAAGAACGGGAGCGAGGACAGGACCAACAGCGTCGTCCTTGCGGTGACTGGGAAACAGCCAAAGAAGTTCCGTGACTTTGCTGAGAGGAACAAGGCAGTCTGGGCGCAAGATGCCTGAAAACATGGTCACAATAGGCGGCTCTTCAGGCTTGAAGCGAGTATCGGCTCACCGAACTCAGGTGAGAAGGATGAGTGCATGCGGCAGTGACGCTGTGAGATGCCTCCCACCCTTGCTCATACTATCTGGTCGCTACACCAGACTTTCTTTCTCGGCGAGCGTTCCATGTCGCCTACACGTACATTAAAACGAATAGAAGGGGAAAAAGGTTTCGTTTTCAGTCAGCAAACGCCGCCGTTTTCAGCCGAAAGCTAATACAGCTTGTCCTCGCGTGCGGGGATGTGCGCTAAGGTTGAAACAAGTCATGAGATCACAAAGCCTCCCTGCGTGCCTGAAAGTCTGCGACATGAAATGCGAGCTCATTGTCCTTTCTACAACATCTATCTAATCAGATTGCTCAAGCTCCGATTCGAATGACTTGTGCATGAATCTCACGATATGGACTCATCATTTGCCGCGATTGAGGATGAAATGCCGGGGAAGGCCGGCGGCCGGGGTAATGCCCGGAGCTCGGCGGAGACGGCGAACCCACTGACGTACCCCAAGGCGGCTGAGCCATTCAGTCAGGACCTCTTCAAGAACCCAACATCGGAGTATCGAGGATGCCCTCTGTGGTCATGGAATACGAAGCTGGAAAAGAAGAAGCTCCTCCGCCAGATTGATCATCTCAGTGAGATGGGCATGGGAGGTTTCCACATGCACGTCCGGACCGGACTAGATACCGAGTACATGGGTCCGGAGTTCATGGATCGTGTACGAGACTGCGTGGAGTATGCGGAGAGTAAGGGGATGCTCGCCTGCTTGTAAGGAACCCCAAATCCCGATCATTCTTCAATGAGATTGCTGATGACACTCATCAGATATGACGATGATCGATGGCCCTCTGGCGTTGCTGGGGGCAAGGTAGTCAAACAGTACCCAGAGCATAAGACGAAGCACGTTCTTTTCACGCCGTATCCATATGGCTCAGTTGAGCTCGGCGGGTAAGTCTTCAGGCCATCATTCTCGCATCCATCTGACGCGAGTTTTAGTGGGTGCGCTCCAAGTTCAGCACAGGCCTGCCGGAGTGAAGAGGGATACCTCTTGGCACGCTTCTCAATCACCCTAGATGAGAATGGACGCCTGAAGTCGAACAAGAAACTTGAAGAGGGTGAGGATGCTGAACCAGGTGGGAGAGTCTGGTACGCATATGTCGAGATCAACCCCCCTTCATCTTGGTTCAACGGGCAGACGTACATCGATACAATGAGCACCGAGGCCATGAACCGCTTCTTAGAGAGCACCCACGAGGTTTACAAGAATAAGATTGGCGACAAATTTGGCACGACGGTGCCCTGTATCTTCACCGATGAGCCTCAGGTGGCTATCAAAACACAACTCTCCAGTCCGACTGGAGTGGAAGACGTCTTTCTTCCATGGACAGCAGATCTGCCCGACACATTCAGAGCGACGTATGGCGAGGATGCAGATCTCGTCGCTAGCATCCCGGAACTGCTCTGGGATCTCCCGGGAGACACACCAAGCTTATCCCGCTACCGCTTCCACGATCATGTCAGCGAAAGATTCGTTACATCGTTTCTCGATCTGCTGGCAAATTGGTGCAGAAAGAATAAAATCATTCTCAACGGCCACATGATGGAGGAACCCACACTGCGTTCGCAAACAACTGCCCACGGCGAAGCAATGCGTTGCTACCGAAACCAGACGCTTCCGGGCATGGACCTTCTAAATGACTGGGTCGAGTACAATACTGCGAAGCAGTGCACGAGCGTCGCCCGCCAGAACGGTGTTCGCGGCGCCATGAGTGAGATTTATGGGTGCACCCACTGGTACTTCACTTTCGAAGGGCACAAGGGCTGCGGAGACTGGCACGCGGCTCTAGGCATCACGTTCCGCGTGCAGCACCTCAGCTGGGTCAGCATGGCCGGCGAGGGCAAACGTGATTATCCCGCCAGCATCGGATATCAGAGTCCATGGTATAAAGAGTACGGCTACGTCGAGGACCATTTCGCCCGTGTTGGTGTCGCCTTGACGCGCGGCAAGGCCGTCACGCGAGTTGGTGTGATCCACCCCATTGAGAGCTTTTGGTTGTGCTTCGGTCCCAATAACAGCGGCGATGATGAGATTGGTCGCCGTGATCAGGCTTTCGCCGAGCTCACAAACTGGCTGCTGCATGGCTTGGTTGATTTTGACTTCATCTCCGAGAGCCTTCTCCCGAATCAAATCGGCGTAGATGTCTCGAAGCCTCTCAAAGTTGGTCAGTGCGAGTACGATGTTGTCATTCTGCCGAACCTACGAACTATTCGGTCATCGACCTTCGAAGTCGTGAAGAAATTCGCTGCTGCTGGGGGTACCGTCATAATCGCTGGTGACGGTCCGGTTCTTATCGATGCTCAGGCTGCGCCGCCGGATCTTAGCCTTGACATCGAGCCGTCGGTCAAGGTGGCTTGGGGTCAAGGCGATATCCTCTCTGCGGTATCTCAAAACCGTGACTTGAAGATCGACTTGAAGGATGGAGGGCCGACCGATACCCTACTCTATCAGATGCGCCAGGATGAGGAAGAAAGATTTGTCTTCATCTGCAACACGGATAGAAATAATCCGTACGACACGCTAGTCAATATTAAAGGCGAATGGGACGTGGAGGTTTTGGATACTTTCACCGGTTCAACTCATCACCGCAAAACTCGTTATGAAGGTGGTTGGACCATCTTCGATCACAGATTTGAAGGTTGCGCAAGTCTACTCCTGAGACTTTACCCCGTGCCAGGGGAAGAACTGTCTTTTGTCAGTATCGAAGAAGCACTAGCGCTGGCTCCAGCTCAGCACTCTTCTGCGGAACTCAAGCTCGAGGAAGTCGTGCTCTCGGAGCCAAACGTTCTGATGCTCGATTACGCGCTGTACAGGATCGACGATGACCCCTGGGAGGACTCTGCACGACAAGAAATCCTCAAGATCGACAATGAAATTCGAGGACGTCTGCGCATCCCGGCTAAGGGTTCCGCCTGGAAGCAGCCCTGGTCCGTCCCGCAGTCGGAGCGAGCAGCAAAGGTCTATGTCGACCTCAGGTTCGAGTTTGATTCCACCGTCATTATCAAGACTCCAGCCTACCTCGCGATGGAAAACCCCGAAAACGCGAGAATCACCATCAACGGCAACAAACTCCCAGTCCAAGAGAAAAGGCTCTCTTGGTGGGTCGATGAGGATATCAAGACCATTTCGGTGCCGAAGAGAACGATTCGCAAGGGGAAAAACATCATCGAGCTCAGTATGCCCTTTGGTGTTTTGACCAACCTAGAGAGGATATACTTACTTGGCAGCTTCAGCGTTGAGCTGAAGAACAATCTGCCTATACTATGTGAGCGAAGACAGAGCTTGGGTTGGGGCGATGTGGTTACACAAGGTCACCCATTTTATGCTGGTAACGTGACGTATAACTGCAGCTTCTCACTGAAATCTCGCTCGGCTGTCACCCTCTCGATTCCAAAGTTTGCGACGCCCGTCATCAAGGTTCAATGGAAGGGGAAGAGCGGGCATATTGCCCTGCAGCCAAGGAAACTAGATCTTGGTGAACTAGAATCCGGCAAACACGAAATCTCGATTACAGCCTTTGGTTACCGGTACAATTCATTTGGCCATATACACCTCACAGACGGCGTCTTTGGATGCTGGCCTGACATGTGGCGAAGTAAGTAATCTAGTGGTAATCTCTGCATGGCAGCATGCTGACGTGATTCTCAACAGCTGGTGGATGGGCTTGGAGCGAGGAATACCTGTTGAAGCCTACCGGAGTCCTGGAGAAGCCTTCCTTGATTGTGGAATCCAAGGCCGGTGAGGCGAGTGAAGAATGGATTGTCTTGGTCGAATAAGTACCTCAGCCTTGATCTTATTCAACCGCAATCAAGGAGAATCAGCAAAATTGTACGATCATATGGCTATGAGCGCTACTGGCGACGTTTTGTTGTAATACTACTCTTTTGAACAGAAAATGAGAATTCGAATGTTTGGTCAAGAACTGAGGAGGGGCATCCCATTATACCTTTGGGCGTCTCTCAGCTGAGTATCGTGTATCGCAATTGTATTCATCCACTGAGACCCCCAACCCGGAGATTCATGGCAACGCTTCCATTAGCACCGACACCTACAGGAACGCCGACCCTATCAGACGTCTGTGGAAACGAATCTGCGGAGAATAGTGTACCGTTGCCGATAAGATCAAGGTCGGCGCCGGTGAGCTGATGTTGTCTGTCAGAATGCTATTTCACAGAGACTGCAGGCACATGAAGTGTTCACTTACACCGAGTAGGGATGACGGGCCAGCTGCTTGATAACAGACAAGACTGCCGTTGCTTGCGCTGCAGGGCTCGTAGCCACGGATGGCGACATTTTCGACAGGGGTTCCGACAGTGTTGAATGGATAGCACGCTAGACTGCCTGTGATGAAGTTGCCGTACCCGTTAATACAGCCAATCCTTTGGCCGTTTTCGAATGCAAGAAGCTCAAATGTCCTGGGGAGTGTTGCAAAAACACCGCAGATCGAGCCGAGAGTCAGGGCAATGAACTTAGGATGCATTCTGAAATATCTGAAGAGATGTTTCTTCGAAGGAATATCAAGAATCAAACTTCTTCTAGCGGTACTTTGCCTCCAATACCCGACATTTGTACTTGTATGCTGCCTTTGTTCCTTGGGAATCAATGAGTGTGAGAATATTGAAGGCAAACAGTAGCGCCACCGTAGTAATATAGGCGGAGCAAGTGCATTAAGCTTAACTCTCTACTCTGAACGATGTCAACGAGCAAACTGACAATTTTATGACAAAGGCCATGTATTGCATTCATTAATAAGACTTTGAGTTTCACACAAAATGATGGAATGTCACGATGGGTCCTTGAAATAAGCAGGACTGATGTCATCAAATGGAAAGCCTGGGCGTTGGATGTCATTTCAAGGTCCACGAAATTGTAGCTAGTATTCCAAGGATTGAAGACATGAAGAGGGAATCAGGATGCCACTTGAGTTTTGGCAGCATGAAGGGCAAGCAAACGAAGTGCGGGGAAATGAGATTGATCCCTATAACTAGTTTGAAACTAGGCTTGATCTCCTGGATGTCGTTTGTCATTGACCAGATGTAGTTGGAGGCGCTATTCAATGAGGTTCATGGCGCAAGCAAGATCCTGATCCATGCAGGATTCAGCATCTCCGAAGACAAAGAACGTGTACGTGGGTACCTAGGTGGTGGATGATATCCTGTGATGAGGTATCTCATAGTAATCTACGAGGGATTCTACGCAGCTCAGGGAGTGTCAAGCTGGCACCATCTCAAATTCAAGCTCCAGAACAGCGCAGGTAAGGATTTGATGTCGAAAGCCATCCTGTTCATACACCGTGGAATGATCTCTTCCGCACCTGGCCTGAACAGCATGTATGAAATAGGAATCAGCGAAGAGTCTTATAAGTTAGACGAGGTCATATCTCTTCTTTAATCTTCCTGCACTACCGGTAATCTTTCGTATGAAGACAAATAACATCAATCACGGGTAAGATGGTTGTCAGGACCCCGCGAGCGCATTCGGCTTTGGCCAACTACATCGACCGCTTCATCGCTTAATCTTGAAAATGCGCGCGCAAGGTTCCTCTGGGAGTTGCAACCGCAGCGTGCTGTTAGCACCGGCCAAGTCCACCTTCGTTGCAAAACTGGTCGGGTAAAGCACGCTGATCCGGCTGTCTTTGTGTGTTCTCAAGCCTTTTCCGAGCGAAAAGTTCATTTCAGTCGGCCCATCTCGTCTCCAGACAGCGAGGTAGGTAGTCTTGCCGTCTGCCGAAGTTAAGGCTAGAGCCACCCAATCGTCATGCCATTTGGGTAGACCCAAGGGCCACGCGGCGTGCGCATGACGCAGGTCTCCTCGCATGCTCTTGTAGACTTCCAAGCCTTCTTTCACGATGGCCAGCTGATTGTCACTGAGCAGGTCGACGCGGCCGGATAGGTAGACGCGACCCATCATACTATTGACGACGCTCAGAGCATTGAGCTCATCACTCCATCCGGGCTGAGGGTAGGCCCAGCTGGCGCTCTGCTCCGGAGTCACAGCCGTGGGACATGCGGCTGCGATAGCCGCGTAGAGCTTAGGATCCTGCTGGTCGCTCGTAGACTGGATTGAGTGGACGGCCAGCATGGCGTAGTCGAGACGGTTCGCTCCTCCAGAGCATGTCTCAATGACGACGCCGGGATAGTTGTCCAGAAGTGCCCTGACCCAGGCTAGATAGGCGCGCTGGTGCTCGAGATGGGCGGCACCTGCGGTACCTTGGCCATCCACATCGGTGCCCTGCACCACGTCGATGTTATAATCGAACTTGAAATATCTGACACCATAGTGGTCGATGAGATTATGCATAACCTTTTTCATCCAGGCTATAACTTCGGGGTGCCGGTAGTCTAGTGTCCAGCGGCGTTTCTCCACCACACGATGACCATCCTCTTGGAAGAAAGCCTCATCGGGCAGCTGGCTGCCTACAGGGCTACGGATGCCAACCACCTCTGGCTCAAGCCATAGGCCGGGAATCAGTCCCTTGCTTCGGATGTCGTCCATAAGCTTCATGAAGCCTGACGGAAAGCGCTTGGTGGACGGCTCCCACAGACCCACGTCGTCCCACCAGTTGCCGTCGTCGGCGTACCAACCAGCGTCTATCACAAAGTACTCGGCGCCGAGCTGCACGACTGGGTCCAGCAGCGCGCGTACTTTGTCCTCATCTGGGTCTCCCATGAGACAGTTCATATAATCATTGAAGATGATTGGCATCCTTTCCATGTCGTCGTGCGGCCTTCGAATTTCCCTTCTGTAGTCAGTCATGGCTGCAAAGGCCGCCTGTTCGTCGCCCTGGACGCGACAGCAAGCAACCGGAACAGTCGTGAAAGACTGGCCAGGTGATAACCGCTTCTTCCAGCCGTGGCTGCTCAGCATAGGTCCGCCGGCGGCAAGGTAGATGCTATCTTTGAAGTCGCCTAGGTCCCATCTCCACGATCCATTGTGCTCGACCTGCCACATCCATGTGTCCTCATTGTTTTTGTGTTTGAGAGCGCCCATGGGAAGATGACCACCCGTGGAAAAGGATCCGCGGGAGCTCAGCTCGAAGTGGGCAAGCGAAGCCAGGAGGCCGTCTCCCAGCTCCAGGATGCCGTTATTGTCGAGACCGACGCTTGGGAGGGAGCGCTCTTCCCATTGCCCCTCGCGGAACCAGGTGCTGTTGGCGTAGAAGAGCGAGTAGTCTTCAAACCATCGGTAAGAAGTGCACGTCATGTTACCCACCGTCAGAGTGGATATGTTGGTGAGGACGATGTCTGCATTGCTGGTAGACTGGTTTGTAACGGTGGTTTGGGCGCGCACCACGGGAATGCTGCCGTAGATGGTGAACCTAGCTTCCACATGAATGTTTGTGGCATCGTCGCTACACTCGATAACCAGCGTCTCTTGAGAGCCATCGTCACTTTTAATGATTCTGTGGCTCTGGTACCGCAGTCGGTCAGAAAGGGTGGTGCCAACGAGCGTCTTGGCCGTTTTGATGTCACCACTGCCTTCGCCGCTCACACGGATGCTGACGAGCGGAAGCTCAGACGATTCGAAATTGGGCGAAGAATGTGGAGATGGCTCCACAGTGGTTGGCAAGATACGATCAACGCAGATGACGCCGTCCTTGTTGATCGAAAAGTCAATTTTCAGGGCATCAGTATGCCATTGAATTGTCCTTGTCTGCTTTTCACCCATCTTCGGCCTTTGGATACAAGTCTTAGTAGAGTTGGTCTGCGGTGTGGTGTGGTGTCGCGTTGTGCCATGAAAGAACAAGGCAATATCAACACAACAGATGAGAGCGGCTTTGGGATCGAGAAGTGACTACGACGCATTTTACATTTAGCAAGCCTTTCTTGATGATCCCTTATGGAGCTCGGATGATGAACTGTGGCAAGTAATGCTTGCTTGATGAGATATCACGAGCTCCTGAATCTGTGCATTGTAACAAGCATCACGCCAAAGGCTCGTATCGTCAACGAATTGCATTGAGCGGCCGATCGAGCGTCGCGGAGACGGCGCCGCGATTAGCCCCACCTCCACCCCCACACCCGGGCCCGAAAGTCGATCGCGGCTCCGGGGCTGTGAGTAAGGAACAGCACAGTACTGTTGGCATCGTTCTGCAGCTTGCCGCATCGATCGATCTTAACAACGCAACTTGTCTGGATGCAGTCCAGGGTGATAGCCACGAACTATCCTTCTTCACATTAAGCCAGTACCGAAGGCGACCATTACCTCGTGTGCGTACGGGGGCTGAAGGTAGGTGGGGGTGGGGGTTCACTCAGTGGATGCATGACCGTCACCATTCTCGTCTTCCACCCACAATCTGGCAATGACTCTCATGTTTATTCCAGACCTGGTCTATCCAAAGGTCTCCCCAGTAGTCATGCTTCATTGGCACAGTCTCCTTCCAAAACTTGCAGGCCGATGCTGTGTTCTTGTAAATGAAAGCGTAATGAGAATCATTGAGTGAAAACATATCTCCTTCATCGGTCAATACTATGAACTTGTATATCAATGGGTAACTATTCACGATGGTCATTTGCTTTAACTCCCTGTTAGTCCATGTAGGTTGCATAGTTCCCCAATTCCAGAACCTGTCGCAGGAACCATAGCCAGCTTCTGGCCCATCACGATAGTTTATTGAAAAGATTTCATTGTGCAGTGGCTTTGCCTCATTGAGTTGAAAATCTCTATTATTGACGGACTACTAACTTCTATCACCACCATTCTACCTCACCTTGAGCCTTGGCGTCCAGACTCTCATGGCGCCGTTGCCTCCACGATTGGCGCGTAGGAAATAGGGAATAGCTGTCAACTGCAGTGGCTCGACATCATATTCCCATGCCTTAGGACCGTAAAGCCGACTCGGCTCGCCCGTGACAACGCCCACATCGGCCAGCTTCCGGCCTGTGACCTGGAGGGGAACGACGTTATGAGTAGTCGCAACAGACACAGGGGGTCCCTCCTGGGGTGCTCGCTCATCTTCCAGGGCGATGTAGTCAATGTCTACGGCTTCGTTGTCTACATCCTCCAGGCAGTACACAAACGGGCCCCGACGGAGGCAGACCGCGTCTTTGCCCGTCTTGGGGTGCGCATACAGCCGGTGAGCCGGCGTTGGAAGTGAGAGGCGTAGTTCAGTGTCTGCGAGGACGTTGGTGATGTGTAGATACCCCTGATTGAGCTCGCCTTGCTCAGAGCATGTGTACCCTTGGTCCTGCACCCAGTCAGGAATCCGCAATGCGAGCCTGGCGGCACCATCAATGCGGATAGTGACCTCGCCGGACCAGGGCATCTCGGTTATGACGGATAGCTTGACCCCTTTGCCTGCCAGCGTCAGTTCTACCTCACTCTGGACGTACATGTGGACGGCCACAAGGCCCTCAGCATCATCGGTTGAGTAGAGGAGTGAACCCAGCGATCCGACTAGCTTAGCTACGTTGGGTGGGCAGCAGGCGACGCCAAACCAGCGCTCACGATCCTTGGACTGTCCGGTCTTGGTTCGTAGGA